ATTTTTTAAATGTGCTTTTTACTTAGAAAAATAAAAATTTGAATAAGTGACTTGGTCTGTTTAGATAAGGAATTCTTAACATTTTTAACTCAATCATTTGCTTTTCTAATTAGTATCTTAAGTGGTTTTAATATTTATTCATCTTCAGTTTTTTTATTGGCTCCTGCAATTGGACTGCTTATGATAAACCTTATACTGGAAAAGGTTAATTTGTAGATTAAATTCTATGAAATTTTACAGTACATGTCATGTCTTTAAAATCCTTTTCCTATCAAGATATTACCTTATTTCTTTCCTTGGCATGGTTGTTAGAGTAGAAAAGACACTTGACTGAGAAAGTTAGGAAATCTGTGTTCTATTTTGGGTTTGCCACTTCTTTGCTGGAAAATCTTGGAAACATTGTGTAACATTCCTGAAACTTAGCTTCAATGGCTGAGTAGGTGGGTTAATAGGACCAGTTTGCCCACCTTACAAAGTTTGTGTTACAGTCAGATGAGTTAATAGGTGACATGTGAAGTGCTGTACAAACCCAAGAAAGTGTACCCAACTCTCATTGTCTGACGCCTTGGTGTGGTTTTGTATCATAGATCAGGCTATTCATTTCTAGGACTATATGTATGTTGAAAGCTTTGCCATCTTTCCTTAGTGTTAGTATCAGAAAAGCTTAGTGTGTTATTTACATTTGTGTCATTTTTGCAGAAGTGTTTCCCACATGTATTATATTTGAACCGGTATTGTTTGAATGGTGTTTTCCTTAGGATACCCAAATATATGTATTTACATGCCTATTATACTCATAACTATGTTCCTGGGTGGTTTCTGAGTAGTGCTATTTAAATAAAGAATGATCCTCCAGTATTAGGTTTAATGAGATAATTATATCACTAAAAAAAAAAAAGCCGTGATTTAACCTCTCTGTTTTATAGAGATAACTGTTATTTATAAGAGGAAGGAATGCACATACTGTTTAAGCATGGTTTTAAGTAACAACAAACTTTATTTGGTTATTCTAGGAGATTTTTATGATTGTGAGTCAAATAATACTTATTTCTAAACAGTTAAAAATATTTCTATCTAACTCAACTTGGGGGACTTTTCTCTAAATAGTGTCACTACAGGATATCAACATGAAGAAAGCTTTCAAAAGTTCCACAGTTCAAGACCAACAGGTTGTTTCAAAGAACAGCATTCCTAATCCTGTTGCTGACATTTACAACCAGAGTGATAAACCACCACCTCTGAACATCCTGACACCATACAGGTAAGGCTTTTGCCTTCCCAGAGCCTTTCAGAAGAGAGAAGCTGAGAGAGGTGGACAGAGCTGAGAACGTGTTGGCACATTGTGTAGAAACATACTTGATGGCTCATTTGGGTTAAAATTAAGGGAATTCTTTCAAATTTTGAAAAGTTAATAGTTGCACTATTAAACACAATGTAGTCATTGATACAGAATTATTAAAGTTTTAGTATTTCAAAATATAGAGATATATTGGCCAAGGGACATGTGAGCTCTAATTTTAGCTTTTAGATGTAAATGTCTTAAGTAGAATAGGCACGTGATATAACAGTATTGTGTGTGGTTGTGTTGTCGTTCCTCATGTTCGAAGTCAATTGGAAAGGAACTGTGTAATTCATTTATGATGCAGCAAAATACCTGTCTCAGCATTTCAGCACTGCAGAGACATTTGTTATTTAATTCAGAAAAATGTACTCTGCAGCGTTAGGGTTTTTAAGGTGAAAATGTAGTAAACAAATTAACCTTCTATTATTGTAAAATGGCAGGGCACATTATCAGAACCAAACATTTGAGAAAAAGAATGGAAAATAAATAGTGCAAAAGATTAATATGAAGAGACTAACTAAAAATGCTTTTTAAAAACACCTCTCCTCCTGCCTCCTAGCGTGTCAGCCTTTTCTTCCCATTTCTACTGTCCCCTCCTTTCCCATCTCTCTTCCTCATATACTGTCTCATCGTCCCTCCTGGCACGTCTTGTGCCTCGCCCATCTCTGTGATCCCCTGATCCCCGTTGAGCTTGTTCCTCCAGCCTCTGACGAGCACAGCTATGGTGGCTGGTGGCCCCCACTGCCCAGGGTCGGCTGTGTTGGGTGATGCTCCTGTGAGGCCTTCGCTTCTGTGACTGTTCTCTTAATATTCCCGCCCTCCTGGGCCCTTTGGTCCTTCTCAGGGAGTGCCTGAGTTTTTTTCGGTCTGAATTCCTGTCCTTTCGCAGGGTCCACAAGGAGCTGTGTGGAGCTGCCCTTTATTGCAGCTCTGCTAGGAAAGCGCAGCTCAAACCGCATCATTTGTCTCTGTGCAGACAGAGAGATTCTCTCAGTGAACTGTAAGAGACCCCTGGAAATGTGATGGGAGAGGAGCAAGATGACATGCCTTTCTATGGAACAAGGATACTTCTCTGGAGGTTTTAGCACACTCATTAAAAAAATTAGTGAATGTATAATTAGAGCATTGTAAGCCAAACGTTTTAGCTTATGACTTTGCTTTTGTCCTGTGGTCATTTTTCTGGGGCAGTTTCAGTTTTGCTCAGCACTGGGGGCCTCCGTAAACATCCTATTGCATGAGGGCTGGCTCATTAAATTTTCCCACCTGGTATTACTAAGAAACCTCACCAAAATTTCTGTTCTAAAGGAAAAAAACCAAAAAATCTAATGAACCACTTATATTTGATTAATCAAAATCATGATTAAATATTGCTTATGGTGACTTAAAATTTTTAATTGCATGAAAAATGATGGGACTTTCACATGTATTATGTGTGTATTCAGTCTTAAAATGGAAAATACAGCATGTCTTTGACTTTTTAATAGTGTGTTTAAGAATAGCAGTGCCAACTCAAATCTACTTTTGATTAATAAAACAAAATTTGAGGTATGTAAAACATATAAACTTTTGTATTTGAACTTAAATATGACACTGTCACAACCTTGTCTTAATATAAGTACAAAGTGACTGAAAAATTAAGTGTTTAGATGCTATAAACGTAGGACATAGCTGCTTATTCTTATGTGAAGATTAACATTTGTTTACTTCAATGAGTTTCTACCTCATTAAAGTATTAATTCCACTTTTAAAAAAAGGAATGGCATTTTATACATCATAAATTTTGCAGTGAGTTCCTAAGTCAGTTTTTCTATGCCTTGCCTATATCCAAGGCCTTAGTATCTTAGGGAAACAGATTCTCTTTTTTGTAATACTGTTATTAAATAAAATCTCTGTCGTGCAGGTTGCTTATCAATTAGTGATTTTCAGACACAGTGACTAGAATAGCCTCCGTAGGAACATGGGCCTTAGTATTTGGTGGTGAGAACCCCACTAGGAGATGGCTTAGCAGGAACTTTAAGGACAGACTTTTTTTTTCCTCTTGAATAATTCAGTTAGCTTTCTTTGACTGTTTGGGGATAAACTCTTTCCTATATTCATTCAACTGATTTTGCTTCCCCTATATGCCTTAAATAACTTATTAAAATACTAATATGAAATATGAACTTTCTGCTTCCTCTTGAAGGTAGCCTACAGGCCAGATACTTTTTAAAACATTAGTAGAATTGTGTTGATTTTGTATCATGATTGTTTGGAGCATCAATATTGATTTATATTACAACTTTGGATTCATATTTGTTGTGTTATTATTGGTTTTATGATAAATGTGTACCTTACATAAAGACAAAATATTCTTTAGACCATAGTAATTGTAGCAGTACTTTAAAATGAAGTGGCTATAAGTGAATGAAGTTTCTCTTGTAGGTTACTGACATTTTGAAAATACATAGTTCGTCACTTTTTTTCCTAGTCAGGTTTATACCTTGTGAACATTTTGCTTCTTTCCTAATTGAATTTATAGATGCTGGGCAAACTTTACTGAGAAAAAGGGACAGTATACTTATCAATTTTCGTTAATAAACAAAAAAATTCCTGAAATAATTGAGGTATTAAAAATTGCTGTTCATGAGCCATATTGTGATTTTTCTGGATCAATTTTCTATACATAATTCTAAATTTGCAGGAGCTCATTTAACCTAATTATTCTAGAACAGGTTGCTGTTCTTGCATGTTTTCACCTTTTTTCAAATAAGGAAATTTAGAGACTTAATAATTTATAGGATAGTTAAAGTGCCCCCAAATAGATGTTATAATCCTGTGAGTTAAAATTGAATTAACATTAACCTCCATATGAAAATATCTAGCCGTCTTTTTTTTTTTTTCTGACTTGTAATGCATTGGTTTATAGAGATGACAAGAAGGATGGGCTGAAGTTCTATACAGATCCTTCTTATTTCTTTGACCTCTGGAAAGAAAAAATGCTGCAGGACACAGAAGACAAAAGGAAAGAGAAAAGGCGGCAAAAGGTAAGTAATTCCAGTGTGGGAAGTGTGCATACCGGTGTGTAAAGGATTCTTGTTTAGAAACAAATCAGTAAATTCTTCATTTAAGTGGTTGAGATGAAAGATTTAGTGCTAAAGAATTTTTTAGTGGTTGCATTTTTCACGTGAAGATCCTGGTATCCCAGCCTCTAGCCCAGGAACATGGTTTTTCAGTAAATGCTGTCTGACTTGTTCTCCAGCACCTGCTTTGCTTTAGCAGAAGTAGTGGCTAAAATTTCAGTTTTGTTTGTAACCATGTTTTATGACCTTTTCCTAGTGATCTCTCAAATTTTCATAAAGCAATGAGCATTTCATATCAGATGTAATGATATGCTTTTGTCTTTTTAACATTTTTAATTGCTGGGTTGCCCCCAGCTGTATTTAAGACCTTGGTGAGAGGTTTACATTGGATGGAGAAGCATGTGTGATCCTCACATTCGGGGGATAGGGTCTAACTGAAGCTGAACCTCCCTCTGCGGGTGGTGGTAGGCAAGAGAACTGCAGGTGTGAAGGCTGAGAAACAACTGCAGTAAGAAGCAGTCATAGAAGACATGCCCACTTTGCTCAGGTTAAGAGACTTCTGTTTTGAAAATTGTCCCTTTGGGACCCAGAAATTAGACTTAAGCTGCTGAGAAGAGTAATTCTCTAAAGGCAAATATTTGTTTATATTTTTATATGTAAGCTATGTTTTAAAATGACCACCCAGTTTTCTTGATGAATATTAGAGTGCTTTAGTTAGGAAAAAGTCTTAGTTAACATTTTGTGGGTTAGTGGCCTTTAAGTTTTGCGGCATTTAGGTGTATTGGCTAGGTAGGAATAACAGTTTGGGATGGAGGAAAATTTGAGATTTGAAACAGGATTTAAGAAAGAGAACATGAGAACAGTTCGCAGGTGGCTGTGCAGGTGTAAGGTATTATCACTGGATTCCGGAAAAGATTCACACTTGTGCGTGAGCATGCATGCATGCATGTGTATTGGGTGCATATTGATAAGATTTGGAGACTGAACCATTGTAAAGAAAGTCGCAGATACCATAACACTTAAATATGTCAGCATACATCTCTTAAAAAGCAAGGGTGATAGTTATTAGTTCAATGCAGTGATTCTTAATCAGGATGCATGTTGGAATCACATTGTAATCCCTCCCTTCCCCTTTTTTCTTTTGGTTTTAAAAGTATACAGACAATATATGCTGTTTATAAAATGCTCAGATAGTGCTGAAGGACATAGAGGTACTCCCCTCCTCAGGAGTAACTGACCACTATAAACAGTTTGGTATGCATCTTTTTTAGACGTTTTAAGCATTCATAAATAAATGCGTTCACATTTTACAAAGTGTTTTTCATGTATACAGAATTGTACCACACATGACTTATACACACAGGCACACTGATGTTAAAGATGTACTTCATTCTTTTTAATAGTTATATGGTATTCCGAAGTATAAATGCTGCGTAAATTATTTACCCCATTACTGTATTAATGGATATAGGTTCATTCTAAATTGTTGCTATTGCAACACTGCAGTGGGTATCCCTGTATTCATGTACAGATATTTCTGCAGGATAAATTTCTAGAAGTTTAATTGCTGTTATCAAAGAGAATGTGAGTTTTAAATTTTGAAAAATACCGGGCTGGCCCGGTGGCGCACTCAGTAGAGTGCAGCGCTTGGGAGTGCGGCGGCGCTCCCGCGAGGGTTCAGATCCCATATAGAGACCGGTCTGCCCACTGGTTGAGTGCAGTGCAGGCGCGACACCGAGGGTTGCGATCCCATTGCCGGTCGCGGTGCGGGCGCGACACCGAGGGTTGCAATCCCGTTACCGGTCATGAAAAAAAGACAAAAAGGAAAAAAAAAATACCGTCATATTGCCCCAACCCTTAGAAGACTGTAGATCCAGGTTATGCCTTTACCAGACTTCTCCAGTCCTGGATATTATGATTTTTGTGATGAGTGCCACCACCCCCCCCCCCCC